ATATGTTTTCTGAGGTTTTCACGGGTGTTTGTAGGTCTTTGGTTATTCGGGTTTTCTCCCGCGTAAAATTGGAGGTGTCTTGGCAACGTTTCGACGAAGTCTCATTCGTCATCTTCAGGCTGGTGTTCTCGGCTTCGTGCTTCTAGGAGCAATGTGTGTGATCGCAGCTGTTTCTTCCTTTTAACTGCCAGTGGGGGTGTGAACTGATTGGGTGGGAGCTTGGCTGTGTTCTGATTGGGTGGAGGTGTGTTCTGATTGATTGGGGGTTTGGCTGTGCTCTGATTAGATGGGGGGTTGGCTGTGCTCTGATTGGCTGGGTGTGTGTTCTGTTTAGGAGGGGGCTTGGTTGTGCTCAGGTTAGTCTGAGTAGCAGGGCGATTTGAGCTGGTGAGCTGTGTTGCTGTTGTTTGGCTTCATGTTCGTGGCCGTGCCATCTCTTCATGTTGGGTGTCAGTCTGCTTCATGTATGGATTAGAGGGGTTTAAAGTGGCTAATGATGCAGCTGTGGTCTGGCTTCTGGTCCGTGGTCGTGCCTGATCATCAGTGTGGGTTTGAGTCTGTTTTCCACGTGGATGTGTGGTGGTTACATCCTGTGTGGCTCTCGTGAGTGTGGGTCTGGTGTCATTCGTCGTGTTAGGGACTCGTTTGTCAATAAGGGTTGGTTTCCAAATGGCTGGTAGGCGGGAGGTGTCATCTCGTTTATTCATGCTGTGTGGATGTTTTTCTATCTCAATGGCTTCTCTGATTATTCTGTTATTAAAGTGTTCAGTTTTAGCAATAGTTCTGGTCTTTTTAAAGTCAATATCATGTCCTGTGGATTTGAGGTGTTGGACCAGGGAAGAAGTTGGTTCCTCTTTTCTAACTGAGTTCTTGTGTTCTTCAGTGCGTGCACTTATTCTTCTGTTGGTTTGTCCGATGTATGTGGTGGGGCAGGCGGTGCATGGGATTTCATATACTCCTTGATTTTCTAACTCAATTTTGTCTTTGGGGTTTCTTAGGATGGTGGATATTTTTCGGTTTGTGCAGAATGCTGTCTTGATGTTGTGTTTGTGGAGGATCTTGCTGATTCTGTCTGTGGTGCCTTTTATGTATGGGAGGAGGGCTTTGCCGTTTTCTTGTTCTCTGTCTTGGATTTTAGTGGGGGTTTCTTTTTGGATTAGGTTGGTGATGTTATTTCTTTGGAATCCATTGGATGTTAGTACGTTAGTGAGAGTGTGTAGTTCGGTTTTTAGGTGTCGTTCATCAGCTAAGCGTTTTGTTCTGGATCCAGCTCCAGCTATGGGATAGCTTCTACACGAAACAGAGCCTGAAGATGACAGGGTTGTGAGCCTTTTGAAACGTTGCTTTAAGAAAAACTTTTAAAGTCACTGGTAGGATTTTAGCTGAGGTTTTAAAGGATCTTGCAGAGTGCTCTGTAAGGATTTTTAGAAGATTTTAAGCTGGGATTTTAACCAGGATTTTAAATATTTTAACCAACTTATTCACAATGACGCGGGAAAACACCCGAGATTTTAATTTTTTGCATATGCACACCCGCGAAAACTTAAGAAGATATATATATATATATATATATATATATATATATATATATATATATATATATATATATTTGTCTATGTAAGTTTTCACGGGTATACACACGGGTATGTGTGTACAGTTAATATCTCGGGTTTCTTCTAGTAGTAAACAACTACTACCCCCTTTTTAGGATATGTTTACAACTACACGGGAAGAAATCTGAGATATTAACTGTACACACACACACACACACACACACACATATATATATATATATATAATGTGTATTGCCAACTATGGCAATACAAACATCTTGATTTACATAGGAAAAACCCTGGCAAGAACAGTAATGCACATATAAACCTATGAAAAAAATAAAGAACAAAATAAATATTTGACCTTTACAGGGAGGAGTCATAAAATAAGGGTGTGGCTAACTGAAGAGGCCTTATAAGGCCGAAATAGATCTATCTTAGTCTCCCTTAAGTCTCACAGCAGACAACATAAAATGTCTGATAAAGCCTGGAAAGTGGTGATTTGAGATGTCACCCAACTATGGCAATACAAACATTTTGATTTACGTAGGAAAAACCCTGACTAGAACAGTAATGCATGCACATATATATTATATATATATATATATATATATATATATATATATATATATATATATATATATCATATATATCATATATATATGATTTATATGCCGCCCTTCTCAGTAATGCATACATAAGAAAATAAGTGTTAGAGAACAGAGAAAAAGAACAAAGCATTTCTTTCCAAGCATTAAGGATGTCAAAGGTTACATCATGTCATTGATAGTTATTTTGCCATAACAAACCTTTTTAAAATACAAATAATTACAAATTATAAACAAAAATAGAAAATGTTTGTATTCTCAAACTTAATTTCATTTAATGCAGTTTGAAAAATTAATATTCCAAATATAATTTAACAAAACATATATAACATTAATAAAAACAGATGTAAAACATTAAAAAGATTAAATATAAATAGAAAACTAAAACAATATTTTTATTTAAAAATAAAAAACCTGAGCAATAATGAGTAAAATTATATTTTTGTTGACTTCCATATATCTTGTAGAATCAAAAGACTGCTAATTTATCAGAAAGCTAGCCTCTGAAGAAACTATGCCCTATTTCAAAGAAAAAGCAAGACTCTAATAGAATCTAATTTCAGTTTCTGGAATGTTTACAGCATACCCAAATTTTTAAACAAAATATTGGTATTACATGTCTCAAACTATGTAAACTTTAAGATCAAAACCAAGATAAATAGCAGAAAACAACCACACTTTAAATCTTAGCAATGTGTTAGTAATATTTGTGCTATCTCTGTGTTGTTACACTCACCCCCTTCCTGCCTGTATGTGCACTTGCTTACGGAGCTAAAACTTACAGAGAAAGCAAAAGGGATGATCACAGAGAGAATATGAGCCTAATGACTACATGACCCTGTCATTTAGTAGTTAAAGTGAGGATGGGTAAATTGGCCTTCACACTTTCTAAGGCTAATGTGTAAGTTAGTTAATATGTATCTGGTGTGTATGTGTGTATATATTCTATCTATCTATCTCTATCTATCTATCTATCTATCTATCTATCTATCTATCTATCTATCTATCTATCTATCTATGATTTTTTAACCTTTCTTTAGATAAGAAATGCGGAAACAAATCAATGTCTAGATAATATGGCACGAAAAGAAAATGAAAAAGTTGGAATTTTTAATTGCCACGGAATGGGTGGTAATCAGGTAATAATAATTTTTTTGTTTTCATTGTATTTTGAGCAGTAAGTAATTTAATATATGTATTTAAAATCTCTATTCTTATTGGCCTGTCTCATAATTAATTTAATTTAATTTAATTTAATTTAATTTAATTTAATTTAATTTTAATTTAATTTAATTTAATTTAATTTAATTTAATTTAATTTAATAATTTAATTTAATTTAATTTAATTTAATTTAATTTAATTTAATTTATCACATTTCTATGCTGCCCAACTCCCAAGGGACTCTGGGCAGCTTACAGCAAAAATAATGCGAACAATGAACATAAAATTATTAAAAAACGTTATAAAAACATTTTAAGAACATTAAAAGCCCATGCACACCATTCATGGCCGGATCTTGCAAAATTGCAACAGCAAGATCAACGGCCCCAGGCCTGCTGGAAAAGCCAGGTCTTCACCGCTTTCTGGAAGGCCAATAGGGTGGGGGTAGTCCGGATCTCAGGAGATAACTGGTTCCAGAGAGCTGGGGCAGCCACAGAGAAGGGCCTCCCCCGTGGGCCTGCCAGCCGGCATTGTTTAGCTGACGGGACCCGGAGGACACCAACTCTGTGGGATCTTACCGGTCGCTGGGAGCTATGCGGTAGAAGGCGGTCTCGAAGATAGCCTGGTCCTGAGCCATGTAGGGCTTTAAAGGTAATAACCAACACCTTGAATTGTGCCTGGAGACCAGTAGGGAGCCAGTGCAGCTCGCAGAGAATTGGTGTAATGTGGGTGTAATGTAATTGGTGTAATGTAATTAATCAATAATGGAGCTTATGTTGAAGAATCATAATTCCATTTAATGGACAATCAGCATATGATCAGCTTTAAGATAGTCACTGGTATAAATTTCCATGGGTGGTGGTTAGATTAAAGATTCTATCACAAATTAATTCAAATTATTTCCAGAGTTAATTTGGCAGCATTGTTGCCTTCTCTTGAAGCCCTGACTGATTTATGGAATATGGAAACACTGGGCATTTAGCCAATATTGTTGTGGCACTTCTAGCAAGATAACCCATGTAAGCTTGCATCTTGTGTGAAACAACTTTTTATATTTTAAATACACCCATGCCCCCACATACTATTGCACCATTAATATTTAAATCAATTTACTTGCCAAGGGAAATTTACCATATCAAATAAGTAAACACAGTTCATATTTCAGCTATATGAATCCCAATTAATAACCATCATTTCTAGTAGCAATTGTCATCTCTGATGTCAGTACAGACACTGCTAAAAAATTTCCCACTTTACACAATTTGTTAAATGTTATGTACTATTTTTGTTTAGAGTGAGTAATACAATACATTACAATAGCACAATTATGCTAATAGAATTACAGTTTTAATATTATAGAAGAAAAAGTAAATCTAGACAAACTTGGGAAATTTGAAAAATATTACTTTATTGCCACTGGAAATTTCATAAATGCCATTGTTTAGGAAACCTTTTAAGTGGCAAAAAAAGGAGATTAATTTGGCTGGTGTTTTCCAAATATTTCATTAGGAGGAATTTTGTACTCAGATTTTATAATGAACTATCATTGCTGTAATCAAATGTGGTTTTCTCTCAAGGTTTTCTCATACACAGCTAACAAGGAGATCCGAACAGATGATTTGTGCTTAGATGTCTCCAAACTTAATGGTCCAGTCACAATGCTCAAATGCCATCACTTAAAAGGCAATCAGCTTTGGGAGTATGATCCAGTGGTATGTGTCTTTATGACCCCAAACTCTTGAGAAAATATCTGGTTATAAATAGAAAATAGAAGGAAAACATTGTTTTTGAAAAACATTCTGTCAATTTATTTCATAGTATCATGATTCTGTCAATTTATTTCATAGCATCATGTGATTGCCATTTACAGCCTTCCTTGTGGCTTCCCACAAAGTCAGTGGGAACTGACTCTTGTAAGATGTTCTCCCTCCTGTTGTTTTTTCTCCTGAGGAGTCCCCAGATAGTAGGATGAGTATAGGATCCAGGCAGGTGGCTGCTTATCCACCCACATTTGTACTAGCCCATTAGCATCCATTCCTCACCTGCCTTCTGGGCTATAGCATCTACCTACCCACTGATATACATTTCAAGCCATAGGACTTGCATTCCTGCCTCTCCACCAGGCCCAACCATCATGCTTGTCCAAACTCACTTGCTTGCCAGCCTTCTTGTAAGAGATTTAAAGAGGGGCTTTTCATGATTGGGATTTGCAACTTCCTCTCAGGTTTCCCATTGACTTTGCTTGTTTGAAAGCAAAGGAAGACATAAATTGTAGTCAAATAAGGTCCTTGCTTGATAGTCCATAATTTTTGCTTAACAATGGCAACAGGGCCTGCAGAAGTTACTATAACTAAGTGATGCAGTAATGTGACATTGCACTTTACAACTACATCACTTAGCAATGGAAATTCCAATCTCATAGAACATAGAATCATAGGACTGGAAGGGATCTCGGGAACCCATGCTCAAGGCAAGAAACCTTATACTATCCCATTCAAATGGTCATCCAATTTTTTTCTTAAAAACCTCCAGTGATAGAGCATCCACAACATTAGGAAGCAAGCTGTTCCATTTGATAAGTACTCCCACTGTCAGGAAATTTCTTCTTAGTTCCAGGTATGATCTCTCTGTAACAATCTTCCAACTGTAGCTTCTTGTCCTGCCCTCAGATGCTTTGCAGAATAAGTCAACCCCCTTGCCTCTGTGACTTCCCCTCCTATCATCTCTCTTCCTTCTCTTCAGTGGCCTAGACATACCTAGTTTCCTTAACCGTTCATCATATGATTTAATCTCCAGATCTCTTATCATCTTTGTTGCTCTTCTCTGCACTTTTTCTAGGGCCTCAGTGTCTTTTTTTGTATCATGGTGACAAAACTGTACGCACCTACTCCAAGTATGACCTCATTAGTGTAGTACTATCACTTCTCATGATCTTGATGTGCTCTCTCTTGATGCAGCCTAAAAATGCATTAGCTTTTCTGGAAGCTGCAGCACTTGCTGGCTCATACTTAAGTGGTAATCTACTAGATTCCTCTCACAATTGAAACTATTGAGCCAGGTACAACCTATTCTATATATGTGCATTTCTTTTTTCTTGCCTTACTTTTCACCACTGAATTGCATCTTGAATAGGGCCCAATGCTCAATTCTTTCAAGATCCTTCTGAATCTTCAATCTATCTTCCAAAATGTTAGCAATTCCCCCCCATGTTGTTGTTGTCTGCAGATTTGATGAGCTTCCCTTCTATTTCTCATCTAGATCATTTATGAAAATATTGAAGAGCACTGGGCCCAAGGCAGAACCACTCTTTATGTAGTTGTAGTTCTGCTGAGAGCTACATGTGGAATGCAATTGCAGTCAATTGTGAATCCATCTGGTGGTGGTACTGTCTATTTTACATTGTTCTGTCTGAGTAGGCTGTAGGCTGTTGTCTACTTTGCCAAATGCCTTACTGAATTCCAAGTGTATTCACAGCATTTTCTTTGTTCGCTAATTTAGTCACTATCAAAAAAGTGATCCCAAAGTCTTGCCATCTTCTTCCATTAGTGGACCTAATGAGTTAATGGGCTTGTCCTATTTATGCTATATAGAATTAAGAATCTTATATGCAGCAAACTCAGTGAACACCACCTGACAGTTCTAGGAGACTACCAGCAAATTTTAAAAGTTTTGTTTCAGCAACATAAGTACCTCTCATTCACTTACTCATTCAAGTGTTACATATCAAAGACCCTTCTTATCCATGGCTAGATGATACCAAATGGTATGATAGCCTTTGTACTATTCTTTTTCAGATGAATCCTAAGGGAATGGAAGGTAAGATTTCAAACTTGTATTTCTTATCGCTCTCTTTTATAAACAATGCTGAATTATATCAGCTTGATTGGTGACTTACCCAACATCACACATTTGTTATATCTGTAGAGATTCTTAGTCATCCAGATCATAGTTGTCTCAAAGGTGTTTTTTCAATAGGCAACTGGACTGTTTTTTCCTTGAGGAGGAAGAACAAAATGTTTTGTTTATCATCCAAGAATCTTCATCAGTTTTGATGGCAAGGGGCAGGATAGGTAATGACAATTGAGACTGAATGGTGGGCAATGGAAGGATAGTTCTGACCGGATGGTGGTGTGGGAGAAAAGGAAGGATTGTATTTCTTTGCAGTCATCTGGCCGTTAACACTCTCTGAGAGCTCTAGAGGACACTTGGGAGTTTATCATTTGTTATGATCATTCATCAATATCTGATAATTGTTCATCTTGTCAACAGTCCATGATTATTCCATAAATAAGGGAGGGGGGAAACTTGATAGAAAAATGTTCTCAATTCTCCATTGCTTCACAAAGCAAACCATAAGAGACAGTTGTGTTTAATGGTATCTTAATTATTTGATCTTATTTAGAAATGTTGGGTTAACACATTTTCTCTCTGTGTCTCTCTCTCTTTCTCTCCCCCTTCTTTCATTCTCCACATGCAATAAAGAAATTAATCTTGTTGCATGTGAACAGTAACCAATGCCTGGATAAAGCCACTGAAGAAGACAGCCAAGTGCCCAGTATCAAGGACTGTAATGGTAGCCGTTCACAGCAATGGCTTCTTCGTAATGTCACCCTTCCAGAAATATTCTGAAGGGTTTCTAAGACAAGGATTGACTGGACTACCTCAGCGAGTGCATTTGCTATATTATGTACCAAGCAAAGGCTGCAAGTTGTTTGATCACTGGAGCAATCAGTTCTAAAGTTCTGAGAACTGTGAACCAGCCATCCTGGTGTTGAAACATGGAGCTAACTAAAGGAGTACTTGTAATGCTTTATGCACTAATGTTTACAAGAAATCATTTTGTAGAACACATGGACAGTGGAAATGTAATCGAGGAAATATGCTCTCTGGAGAATAGCACAGTTTAGTTTGCTTGTATGTCAGCAACCTCCCAAAATGCTATTAGAAATATTCCTAAAATGTTTGTGCAAAGTTCAATATTTACTCAAAAGTCATATAAAAATATAAATGGGACAGATTAAAAATAAAAGATAAAAATCATTGATACAAAAATGTATAAAACAAGATTTAGAGAAGAAAATCAGAACTGTTAAAACTTATAATTCCAAACATCAAATGTATATAATTAATTTGATCTCAGTGGAGAAAAGGTGACCAAGCAAAATAGCAACTTTTTATTCAATTGCGTGCTGATCTATTAATTTTTTTTCTTACAGTACAGGCCTTGAACTTCTTTTAAGAAAAACCAAATTTTAGCATAAATAAAATTAGCACTCTAAATGTTGGATTAAATTTAAAAACTTTTGATTTTGTCTTGTAGTTTTTCCAAACTTGTTGCTCCTTTTTTCCAAATATCTCAAAAATGTTTTATACTTGTTTGTGTTTGATTTGCTACTTAAGTTAAAAGTATGTCAGCTATCTTTGATCTGACAAGAATTTATTTGTGTATTTTAAATTTCTTAACTGATTATGTTTTATGACCAAGTCTCCTAATATTGCATTATTATTTCTTTACAGCAATAAGTATTTTATTACTCAATTTCACTCACCAGAGCCTGCAGAAATAACTTATTCAGGTAATAAATAGCTGGCATTTGATGTTTCCTTAAAGCATATTTCCATTCAATATTACAATATCATTCATATTTTTGAAATGTAATGTTCTACTTTTTTCTAATAAAATCAAGGGAAATTATTAAATAACTCTCTTTATTAAAAATGATAAACTGTAAAAGTGCTGTGCCCCCTCCTCCAATTCTGAAACTGGCCAAAAATCATATCACACTAAATCTTACTGATCCCACAGTATATCTTTCCAGCATATCTGGAAGGGGCCTACTTGCACTGCTGAGCATGTACCTATAACACGTAACATTCTAAGGGGTGTGATTTTTTTTAAATTTCGATGTTCCCAATTCCAACCCTATACCTCATAATCTGTCTTTTACAAAACCTCCTTCAGTTGGGCATGTATAATATTGTGGTTACCCCATCATAATACTGTGGTCGTCCCATCAATTTCTTGGCACTTTCAACCAACTGAATTCTTTTTTTTAATCCTAGAGATTGTGAACTGGCCAACTGTTAAATGATCAGTAGGTGGCAACAAAGAATTACTGATTTCATATTTCTATGTTGCCATCTGATGTTCATCTGGATATGTGCAGCCAATATGTAGCTGAGAACTGGAATTTTAGAAAGGGAGTTTATCTTTGGGGGCATAATGTGAGGAGAAGAAGAAATGAACCAGAACTTTCATGGAGTACTCAAGCAGGGCTACTAAAAGGTAATTTCTAACCTCACAGGCTATGATTCTTTCAGTTACTTTTTACATACATTAAGCCAGGTATCACCTAGTCAATTTGTATGGGTTTGCCCATAGAAACGTAGATAATTTGTGGCCAGGTAAACCTTTGCAGAAATCAATTTTGTGCACCACTACTCTTGCAAGTATTTCTGGACTTGGAGGCCTAACTCACAGCCACAAAATTGAGTCTTAGTCATTTCTATTTTACTTGTTTAATGCAATGTGGTCTACGTGGGCCTGCCCTTGAAGACTATCCAGAACCTGAATACAGTGGCACACACAATCAGGGGTATCAGGCAGTTCACCTGAATAACACCATTGCTGTGAGAGGTGCACTGGTTTCCAGTTACTTTCTAGGAGCAATTCAACATACTGGTTATCACCTATTAAAGCCCTACATGGCCTAGAGTCAGGTTACTTAAGGGACCACTTCTCCTTGTGGATATCTGCCCATGTTACTAGGCTAGATAGAATTGGTGCAGGTCCCCTCCTTTAACTATTGCCATCCAATGGAACCTTGGAATCCTGCCTTCTGGGTGGTTGCCCCAATTCTTTGTAATAGCCTTCCATTGAAGATCAGAAGAACACCTACCCTTTTAGTCTTCTGGAAGACTGAAGAGCTGGGTCTTCTCCCAAGCACTGGGCAGGGAGGGGGGATTGAGTTGTGAGAATGGTTGGTCTGGTGCCTGGTGGTGGAAAGGCTTATTTTTAACTATGTTTTATGGATCGTTTTGAGCAGCCTAAAGTTATTGTATGAGATTGGGGATCATATGTGTCCTGTAAATAAATGAGAAGTCATTTTATCTGCAAGAAAACATTTTAATCTGAATGTTAGTACTCTAGGAAATTAATGCATGTGCAGAAATTTTTGACTTCCCTTGTTATATGAAAGGATTCTCTAATGAAGAATATGGGGTAGCAAAGCTTCAGCTGAACCATGTACAAATAATTATGAATAGTAGGAATTAGGCTGAAAACGTAAACAAAAGAACTGTTTAATTTTTTTATTAGTGTCCATTAATCTTATATTGTGTAAGTATCTATGCTTTTTAAATATGATTTTAATCTTTATCCAGACAAGATGGACAGCACATAAATTTAATAAATAAATAAACTGTTCTTGGGCACTAGCATTTTTTAAAAACTAAATACCTTTTAGAAGAGAAATTAGTGCTATTCTGCTATTTCACAGAAGCATGAGAGTCATGTATATATATCAGAAAAGAATGTAAGGACAAACGTTATGCCCATAACAACAGAGATAACATATGCCAATTCAAATGTGAGAAATTAGGCTATTCCTTAATATGAAAATAAAACTTAACAATTCTATAACAAGGCATGCACAGACTAGTTATTTACACCTGATTATAAAATGGCTTTCTGTTCTTTGCAGTTAGCAGTGCTTTTCCCTTATGTGTTAAATAAGGCACTTGAACTCGATTTATAGTATCTGATGTTTTGACAGAGCAAGGAATGAACTATAGAGAAGAAATTCTTCCAACAGTATCAACTGGTGCTAATGGTCCCTATAGTTGATAGTTGCTTGGACCAGCTTCCCACACATCACCCTCATAGATGGAGTCCTGTCTGGAGCTTGGAAAGTGGAGATATTTGGTCTAAGCATAGGTGTTGTGGCAGATGAGTTCTACTTTACCTCACCAGATCTCATATTTTTCGCTGTTGAAGATGTCCTCGCCAGTGATGTTCCACAAGGTGATCTCCCATGTCAGGATCTTCTCCAGGTTGGCAACATAATTGAATGTAGCCCCAGTTTTGTGAACTCTCTCGTCCAATTCTTGTGGGGATGAGTTTCTGGCCTATCAGAGCACCTTCAAAGTGTTCCACCATTCTCTGGGCAATGCAGTTGTCATCTCCATGGGGCCAAGTTACCGAGGTCTGGGTGTCTAAGGGGGTAGAAGCCATAAATGACCTCAGCAACAGGGTAGCTGTTTTGGTATAGAACACTTGGTCAATGCCAGTCAGTGTACCTGACTTGGTGTCTTGAGCAACCTCAATGATACTCTGTACCTTATATCAGATCTGCCATCACATCGCTTCAGCTTCTGTTTGCATTGATGGCATCTTGCCATAAAAAAGGGGGAGGGGGGAATGGAGAGGAAACACTCAGAAGGGGTTGACAGGAATCACAGATGCCAATCTGAAACAGCAGATGAGAGATCCAAGAACATAAACATGAGAGTGGAATGCAAACACTCACCAAAAAGGTGCCAAACATTGGAACTGTTAATCAAAACATCTAATTCATGGGCTGGATTCTGGTCTGGATACTGACCAGAAGACCAAGGGGAAAAAGATTTAGAAGGACCTGGGAGAAAGTTTATATTGGAATATCTAGATATGGTTTTGCTTACATTGTAACCACTTGGTTTCAGTAAAAGCATACCTTTTCTCTACTAATGGATCAAGGGCTGACATTAAACCAGGTCTGCAATAGTGGCCCAACCAGACATCCATATCTACTGTGGGGACCGTGCATGGAATGTCCATCCACGAAAGCAAGCAGGAGGAGATGGAGAACTGGAAAGAAGCTGCTCCAGGCGTGGTAAAGACTACCCTGGGGGAACCAGAGGAGATAAAGACCCTGGGGAAACCAGTCAAAACCCTGATGGTTGATAAGAACAGGAAGAATGACTGGGAAGAGAAACCCGTGGACTAACCTTTATCTGGGGAAGCCCAAGGAGATGATCACAGGCACTACCAGCCAAGGAAGAATGTGGGGTGATGGGAAGCAAACCAGACCCCCACAATGTCATCTTTGAACAAGCCATTGACTTCCCAAGGCTCGATTGCAACTGGCACCAGGCCCGAGAAGCCCAAGAAGGGCCAGCACCATCACCAACCCAGCATTAGCAACTACAGCTCCAATCCCTGCACTTCCAGCTCCACCGCAGCAACTAAAAGTGGCTGCAGTGGCACAGCAACCACCATCTTAGGCTGCCCTTCCATGGAAGAGAGAACGCAGCCCTACAGGTGAAATTTAACAGTGACCCAAAAGACAACTGGCATTTTTCACGGACATTTACATGCAGCAAGCAATATGGGGCCACTACACCCTCTGAACTCATATTCCAGCTGAGTGCACCAGCTAATTCAATCCCATCCCCCCCCCGACACACACCCACAAAAAGAAAAGAAATGGGCTCAATCCTCGCCAGCTCCGCTCTATAGAGTTCAAGTTTGCTCCTGCTCCTTTTCAGATTCAGATTCATTCCCCTCATTAGAATGATCCTGATTATAGTACCCAAATTCAATTGGTGGTGGATTACTATTCTCCCAGGTAAGACTGAACAGTTTAGTTTTGTGTTTATTCATAACTTGGTCGACTACTATTCCAGTCAAGATCGCACAGTGTTTGTTTATGAGCAGGTACAACCTTCCAATTTCATTAAGGCAACTCAGCTCAGGTACAATAGAATCTGTATAATGGGGATATAGAAATGGCATGTCATTTTTATAGTCCACTGTAATTTTTGCAATTTCATAAACAAAAACATCTGTATATGTGGCGTCCTCAAGGGTAGATGTATCACAAGGCTTCTTTCCATCCTGGACATCTGAATGATGACGATCCCAAAATGTCTTGACATTTCTCGTATGTTCGGTCATTGTTCATTATATAGATACTATACCAAATCTCTGGAGTATTGTGGAGTAAGTGTGGATTTAATTTAATTAATTAAATTAATTATAGAAATATCTCTGCCATAATAGATTGCTTACAAGCTGTAAGTAGTGAAGATGTTTATTGGAAAAAACATCACTATGCAGGACTGGGTATTCAGCAGTCAGCTGCCCTATGGCCTTCCTTGCTGCAGCAAAAACAACTGTTGGAGTAGTGGTGGGGGCTCAATTCTCTTCTTCCCATCTTTGGGACTTCCTTCTTTTTTGTGGAAAAGGATCATTATTGTTATTGACTGGTGCAGCCATAGTATCTGGCAAGGTCTATTTCTACTTCATTGGTTAGGATGTACCACCCATGGAGGGTTCGTGGTGCACCTTTGCAGAGGGAGGTGTAGATCTCATTGCTTTTGGAATCGCTCAATTAGCATGTTCTGCAGCCAATTGAATAGCTTATAGGCCCCCTGCCCAAGAGAAGAGTATTAAAAGCTTAAAATTAGTTTTAATAAAAATTATATAAAAATAATTAGAACAATGGGTTGCTGCTAGTGGTTACTGTATTACTCATGGTTATAAAGAATAGAGCGGGCTAAGATCACCCGCATAAACCCACTCCGGTCTTTTCCTGAAAAACGGTTAGAACCATGTTTGTCAGTCTATTAACACGGAACGTTCATGCAGGCATTATTGTTCCCACCCGGTAACCGAAAAAGGTCTAGGAATTATTTCCGGTTCCGTCGCTTATCGAGCTTATGCCGTTCTAGCTTTTACGCTGCTTGAGCATCGTTGGTTTGCTTTCCTCGAGAAGATGGGAAAATGCCGGTTCCTTAAATCTGCGGCTCGACAGTTGGCGGGAACGTGTCCAGGTCAAGCGCGATTTTTGCTGTAAGGCTTTTTGTGCGCCTGACTTTCTCATTTCTACTGGTTTCCAAATGCCTCTATAAACGCTCATATCTGTTCCTGTCGTGGTTGCCTCATTTTCGGGTTTGACCAAATTTCGTGGTTTATAATCCTCGTTTATTCCCTCATTGTTCCTCATTCTTAATCTTTCTTCATTTGTCAGATTTAGAAGGCCGACTAATTAAAAACTCTGAGCGACACGTAACGTTTAATAATAGTAAGATAAACAATGAAAAGAAAGAGCGAGCGAGTTATGTCCAGAAGATAAAAATAAATTAACAAAAACAAACCCACAAGAGGCTCTGCCATCCAACCTACTGATTACTTACATAGTTGGTGGTTATATACTAGAACGCGGAGTCGTTCAGTATATGTTAATTAAGTCAGATGTAAACAATTTAAAAGAGGACTGGTAACTAACAGTAAAGCCATCATAAAATAGGATTCAGGATACAATTTCTTTTGTCTTACTCATTTCAAAAAATGTAATTGTGTGCCATTAATTTAATACATTTTAAGCACAACCATATAAAATGTTTTGATTAGTTAAAACGAATAAATAAATTCTAAACAGTTGGAAAGATGAAATTGGCAACCTCCTAAATGTTTATGAATATTTCAGATTCATTTTCTGTGTTTATATATTTCAGACATTCTCAGCTGAATTTCTGATTGTCAGTATTGTCAGTATTCATGAGAATATACTAGTTTTACTTACAAAATCATTTTATGGTTGATAATTTTCAAATGACTATTGTTATCTCAGATGGAGATACCACAGTATATTGGAAACTTTGTAATTACTATTTATATTGCTCTTTTAGTAATTTTCTGTTTTGGTTAGTATTTTAAAATGATTACTGTTTTTCCATTTTTTTAATGTTTTATTATTGATTTTGATTTGTTATAAATTGCCTGAATGTAATGTAGTAAAAAGTTATACAATATAAACATATACAACTCATTTCTTTTTTGTTATGTCCTCTCCACAGATGGACACTCAGCAACATAGAAGGTAATTGCACAGGAGTTGTGGTACACCATAGAAATCAGATTAAAAGCTTTTAAGATTCTTCTTTTTCTGTACCTTCAGCACTTTTAATCTTTCAAAAATGGAATATATAAATTGATTTCATTCTTAAATATGAAAATGAAATTTCTGTACTGTGGTTAGTAATTTTATTTTAAAAAATAAATTGCAGAATATTTTCATTTCCCCTCTAATCATATTTGCAGGTAATCATGTTTGCAGGTAGGTAAAAAAAGTGGGATAGAGAGTTATGATATGAACTGACATACCTAGATACCATATTAGGAGTAACATTTAATTCTCCAACTTCTTTGTGTCTTCTCCATCTCTTTATCTTTATCTATATCTTTATCTAATATTAGTGCACTGCTTAATTTGTAAGAAATCTGAACTCAAGGGGCCTGATTTCATTATAACCCAGCAATGTGATTGGGGATGTACTGAGTGGAATTTTGTGTCAGAAGCTTGTTTTTTCAACATACTGAATACTGAAGAAATTTAATTTACCATATGCTACTAAATAATCACATATTCTGATAAAATCACAAACCCACCCCTTGAAATCTCTTATCTCCTTAGCGATAACTACTGTATTTTTCGGACTATAAGACGAACTGGAGTATAAGATGCAGCTTAGTTTTTGGGGAGGAAAATAGGAGGAAAAAATCTGCTTACCAGGTATTCATCTGGCTAGCGTTCTTAGTCTGGTCAGCTTCAGCACATTAGTTTGCTGTTTTTTTATCCCCTGCTTGGGGATAAAAAACAGCTTCTAAGGCACAGCTGAGAGAAAGCAGCAATGAGAAAAGCAGGCAAAGCACAGGAGATCGCTTCACTCAGTTAGCGCCCAGTTGGGGCTGAAAAAAGTTTCTAAAGAACAGCTGAAAGGGATATTATCTAAATGTTATGCATATTTATTGTCTCTGCAGATAGGACAGGATGTAGCGAAGGATTGTATGATAGCATGGGGGCGAAATTTTGGATATCCCCTTGACTTCCAGCAATGGGAACAGATTTGGTTGAAAAATATGAAATTAACCATGGTCTCCTCATATAAAGAAAACATATATAAAATGGTCTATCGGTGGCATCTCCCCCCCGGCGAGATTAGCTAAAATGTTTCCCGGGACATCTGCCTGCTGTTGGAAGTGCGGTTACAGTAATGGAACCTATTTTCACCAATGGTGGACCTGCCCGCAGGCGGTTAAATATTGGAAAAAAATACGGCAATGGATTTTGGAAATTACACAGATTAATTTGGAATTAAGACCTGAGATTTTCCTATTGGGGGCAAAACCTTTGAATGTTAAATCAGATATATGGTTCTTGTTGATTCACATTAT